AAAAAAAAAAAAAAAAAAAAAAAGAGTTTTAAATATTTTTATATTTCTCTACTTTTTATATTCGAGTGATTTTATAATTGATACGAAAAATAAAAAATAAAGTTAATTGAAATCATGCACGAAAATCTATTTATTTAAAAAAAAATAAACGTTTGAATCTAACGTTAGATTAAAATAATTTTTTTGCTTTTCTGTATTTTTGATAGGTAAATAAATATATGATATTAAAATGAAGATATCGACATACATACTGATTTTTATAGCTAAATATATATCTATGAAAATTATAAATTGTTTACATTACTTTTACGCAAATTATTGTTTTTATTTTTATTTTCATTTTCAGGATAGCAATAAAAATGAAGTTTAAATTAAATGAAGTTTTAATTACACGATGAAAATAAACAAATAAGATACATTTGATAATATTTGAAATTATTATTATTATATTTATTTCATTATTCTTATTTTAGGAAAATTATTATACATTTACTTTATTATTTTTATATTTAGTAAGATTATAATTTTAGAAATAGAAAAACGTTAAGATAAAATAAATATCATAATTTTTTGCATTGAGAAAATCTGTATTTCTTGTATAATTATAAATATTAACATATCAGAAATCATTTGAAAAATTATTTCGGAAAAATTATTTTATTATTCAAATATAAAATATCAAATTAAATTAATAATTAATTTTATCAATGATCAAATAACAAAACAATTTTAGAAAGGAAATCATTTGCTTATTCAAATAAATTAACGCCTAATTATATAAAAGTAATATCAAATGAAATGATATATTATTAAACCTGTTTACCGAATTATTTTTTATGATAAAATATTTCTTCAATAAGAAATTAATAAATTTAAGTGAATTTTAATTAGATGATTCTTTTGATATCGAAATGATTTGAAGATATATTAAGAAGATAGAAACAAATTTTTGGTTAAATAAATTATTAACTTACAATTTAATTCGCTTTTTTCAAATGATAAATATAATTATCTATGAAGTAAAATCGAATATAAGAATAACATAAAATTTCTTAATATCTTTATAAAGAAATATTGAAACAATTAGAAATATTAGAACAAATGACGACAGAGAGATTGTCCTGATGCAAGTGTTCGTTAACACGCCATTAAATACATTTTTTCGTCTCCAGTTTTTATACTTATTTACAATGGAACAAATATAATAAAAGTGTAACACAAGGTAAATTATTTAATCAATTTCGAATCTTGATATAATTCTATTATCGTCTAAATGAAATATTAATAATTAATTGTTCATAATTAAAAATCAATTGTTTTAAAATAATTAAATCTAAATTTAGGATATTTATAATGCTATTCTTAATATGAATTTTATACAATTATAATATGAACACATTTTTAAATTTGTCTATATGTATGCTATTACATTCTGTTTCAATTTTTACTTTTTGATATCATCGCGAAGATATCACGAACAATTCCTAAAGTTACAAAT